ATAAGACGTTAGTATTCAGAAAAGTATTCAGAACGTTGAACGTAGTGACTTCATACAAAAAAATTACGTCCCAAAACTTAATTATTTTCGAAAACTAACGGCCGGCACGCGATTTCGACCCCATTTACATCGATGCGACGTGAGGGTGTTCTCACTGGGGTAGTGAATCCTACGTGCAAACCAACTAATAAACGTACCGTGAACAACAAGAAAGTATATATTTGTAATGCTATTTTCTAAAAGAAAACATATTTTGGATATCCCTGAGACATATTTGATACATCTTAGATATACGTGTTGCGTGGTTTAGAGTTATGTCAAAGTGTAACTAGTGGGTTTACCCCGTCATTGGTTTCGTTTTGCGTCGATCCCTTCTGCGCATCCGACATTGCTCTGGGCGGACCAATGAGAGAAAAGTTGTATGTGTGGTAGCGTAGCTTTGATGGCTACGTATACATACACACGTCGCTAGCGGACCTAGTAGTTACACTATGGTTATATCGTAACATAACCTGTACTCGAGGGGTAAACCGCCTGAGGGTATTGTGGTGTACAGATTTGTGGCATTACTCGGCATTTTTGGGGCATTAGTTTGGGCATTAGGCCTTGGCTGGGGCATTATAAAGATAAAATAAGACAAAATAAGATAATAAGATAAAGTAATGCCCGTTGGGCATTGGTGGGCGTTGGTGTACAAGATTTTGGTCAGCGGTTTCCCCCTCGCCTGTACTACGTTAGGGCCCAGGGTATACTTGTCCTCTATGAGGAAGCAATATTTTTAATTTCCTCCGCGAGGAAGCGATGTTGTCGCTTTCCAATTTTTCGCGTCCAATCGCGGCGCGACGTTAATTCGTTTCCAGATCGGTTCTCGCGCCGCTTGTTGCGCCGAGGTTCTTTCGTCGCGCGGGATCCTCCAATTCGACGGTGACGAGCCCCGCAATTGCGATCTCCCTTCGAAAACTACCTGCGAAGGGGCACGAGCCCGTCTCCGCTGCCCGATCGCAATTGCGCGCGCGCATACACATACCTACGTACACCGATGGCACGTGCTCGGCTCCAGAGGCATGTGCATGCCGCCACCGCGGTCCGCGCGAATTCCGCTCGCAGTTGCATCTCGCGCGTCTGTGCAAGCGGTCGCCCCGCGCGCTCGCCGCGTTATTGTTAACGTCGCCGCCGCAGCTCTCGGCGTTTGTCTTGCGTTTGTCGAATTCACGGGGGCGCGCGGCCGCGTTAAAAATTACTCGCGCGTTCGCCTTGCTGCTCGGCGAGCGGTATGAATGCAATTTCGAAAATTCCGTTAAACCCGACGTCAATATTCGTTTGCATCTTATTGAGCCGTACTTGAAAGTTGTGCCCGGAGCACCGCCTTCTTGAACAAAATAAGCTCGTTGCTTTCCGAGGGAAATTTTGAAAAAAAAATCGTGGATTTGTGCACAAGTATTATATTTTATATTTTTGTTTGCGCACTACGCTTTGGTGTATAACAGACACAGTCTTAAACGTCGGTGAAGTATATTTTTCCAAATTGTCACGTACACGGAGAGACCGATATGGTTCCCACATGTCTAATTAGGGTTGGCGCAACCCCAACAAACAGTAATATTAGGGACAGCCTATATCTGTGGTTGTCACACCCACATTGGTAAGATAAGTAGTCGAGACAACTATATGCGTTTTGTGCAGCAAGCTTAGTGAATGTTGCAACACAAAACAATGTAGATACTATTTATACGGCAACATTTTAATTTTAAACAATATATAAAACGACTAATGCGGGTCTAAGGTAAGATGTAGGTAGTCTATACTTGTAATTTATTAAAATGTGAAGGGGGATATTGAGTGCTAAACGTAGCATCTGAAAATGCCAAGCGTAGCATTAAAAACATAATTACGAATCGTTTATCGATTTGAACATGTGAATTTGCTGGCGATAACAACGCCGCCCGTAAGAAAACTGCGTTACGTCCGAAAAGAAACCGGCGCGCAGAACAAAGGTGGAAAGAAACGGTGTATGCATTCACATTTTAATAAATTACAAGTATAGGCTACCTACATCCTGCCTTAGACCCGCATTAGCCGCTTTCTATATGTTGTTTAGTTTTATTGAGGGTCTTGCTTTAACTCTAATTTTAATTGTAGTTACTTCAGCCTTAGCTGGTCTCTCCGTGCATATGTTATTCAAAAGTTTCTTTCTCGACGGGATCTACTTCTTCAGTTGGGCCACGTGTAAGTCTCAATGTTAGACATCTTCGATACGTCCTTTTTGACGAATCGTTGATACCTTCCGAACGGAAAAAGGAACTTGCGAAACAAGGTAAAATATCAAGTCAACGTTTGCGCAAGGGACATTCATTTTTCCTTTCGGCGGCAAGATTTGCTGGCAGACTTTTGCGTACGCGTTTTTTTCTCGAGCTGGCGCGCCCTCCCCGGAGATATCACGTGCGCGCGGAGACGCGAGAGATAGTGGAGAAAAGAATAAATTCTCCTAAGCACACACAGCGCTTGCGAATTTTTCTATCCCGTAACGGGAGTTCGCGGCATGGCCTGAATCCACTCATATTAACGTGCCATAAATATGCTAACGCGTTATAAATATTCAAAGCGTGTCCATAATACAATACGGCTAATACAGTGCGGGGAAAGTGCTTTGGCAAGTCCGCAGTGCGTGCTAATCATGGTTGTCGGTAACGAGACATAAATTTAAATCCGGCAAGCTGCTGAGAGATCGGCGTCTGATCACCGCTTCCCCTTATTACCGCGCGATCGATTTGTTATGCAAATTGTAGCTAATCGAACGAGGAGAGGGATGCGTAAGTTTCGGAAGGCTGTCATAGGCCATCCTCATAAAACATGCATTATGAACGGAGCGATCGACGATGCCGTGAATGTTGCAAACGGGACAAAAGTGCTCTTGATCGATACGTTCGTGAATTATTTCCACGTGCCTTCGAGAGGCTTTCCACGGCGGAAAATTTCGGAAGCGTCGAGCAAGAGTGAGAGGCGCCGTCGCAGAATGCAGAGCAGATGAGTACACTTTTGATAGATTATACGAATTAGCGAGTCTAAGCGCTAATTACGGAGTCTTTCGAAGATGTAACGTGCGACACGGCTGGCTTCGCGCGCCCACTTTCGGGGCACAGAAAGGCGTTTATCGGAGAAATTGTTGGAGCACGGTGGAGGAACGGCAACGGAAACAGGGAAATGATTGATGACGAACGGCTTGTTGCATGACTCTCTGAATGTGGTGAACCGACCCGTTCCGTTCTTTTTTTTTATTTGATATTAATCTTCGAATTGTTTTTCGGCGCACGTCAACTCGCTCGTTGAAGCTATCGAAATATAAAACAAGATACGGCTGCGCAAACGGTTTGAAAATTTGTTTCTCCGGAAAGGTAAGGTGAGGTAACAAAATTAGTGAGAGAGAGATTTGTGAAACTGCAACAAATTATTCATCATAATCCCTTTTCTAACAGTGACCTTATTGCACAGAATACAAAACGCATCGCGTGAAGCCACATTACGCGTCACACTTTCGAAAGATCTCCGGGTATATGGTGAAGACGTTTACCTCGAGTATTATTAATAATAATGGACTCTCAATATTTATAATTTGGCACAGCCACGTGGCTGTATAATTAACAGATTAACTCTTTGGCGATCGACGGTTACGGACATATCCGCTAATTTGTGAATGGTGTTCAGGTGAATAGTCTGCGCTGTACATTTCCCTTTTCGTTATTGTTATAGATATTATGCAGAAATGATAAATGGATGTAAGTTAACAATACTAGTAAGTCTCGTTGCGCGATTATCTGATTTTTGTGTTTTTTATAAGTAGATTATAAAATTCGTCGAAAAGGCGTACGCTGTTATTAAATATATATATTTTGTCAAATAAAATGGTTAATGCATAAAGAATATACATTAAGTACAATGCAGCGACACGGGATTAAACGTAAAAGTATTTTTATTGCAGATTACAAGGTAAAAGTTTTGTTTTTGCACATATTGTGCGCGTTTACGTGCACGTGATAGCGTTTGTGTGATAGAAATTTTATCAGATGAAATGAATGTCGTGCCTCTTCCTGAGAAAATTCACTAAAGAGATCGTTCGCCGCGGTATCTCGCGCTTCAATTCCACCTATCGACGAAATCTCACCGGGCAATTATAATTTTAGCGCGTTGACTATTATTATTTTTTAATTCCGCTTCGTTAGTCGCTAATTAAGCGTTGGCCCGGCATGCAAAGCAGCGCCACAATACATTCCACGATCTCGCCGCGTTACGAATATGCATCTCACGCCACGCCTGTTTTGTGGCTCGCGGACGCTACAACAAAGGAGAGTGTAAATGGGAACTTACGAGCGACGGTGGGCTGATTTATTGCCGAATTGACTATTCATCTCCTTCACCAGAACCTCCGGTGTAAGAAGTCACGCGGTCATTAGCCCGCGCCCGGTGTAGAAACCCCGTCGTCCTGAGTTAAGAGAATGAGAGGGGGGAGGGGGAAAGAGAAGAAAAAAAAGAGCAGAAGGAAGAGTTTGCTCCCGTCGGTCGTCAAAGAGTTAGTAAGGCGAATTCGTAATCTGGAGAAGTCCGATTCAGCCGGGCTTCTCTCTTATTCAAGCCGTATTAGAATTGTACTTGGAACAGAGCTTGAAAATCCCGGGACAAAATTAACACTAAACAGGCCTGGGTGTTGGTGATTTTTTCCTTATGAAAAGGGTGTCTTATCTTGTATAAATGAAGAGGAAAGTCGTTCCTTGAACAGAGAAAACTTTAAGAGACTTTCTTTTAACGATTCATTCATATTGTTCGAGGGCTAATGAATGCTACAGAATTTATCGCTGAAATGTGGACGTAGCCAGGGAAAGAAGAGATACAAGATACATTTGCATTCGGTTTCATAATTTTATGATTTATGTATAAAGGATGTCTCTGCGACGTCCTGTTTTATTACGTGAAGCCTAGATTAATCTTTGATCAAAGTTCAATCTAGATTTAATATTTCCTTATCACAAATTGTATTATTTAATTTAAAGTTTAAGTATTCTTTTATCTTTATAAATTGTGTCAGCGTTAAAGTACACCTGAAATTAAATGAATAATATGGTTTCCTATATTTATAACTTTAATACAATTTTTACCTCCATTCTTTGTTATAACTCGGAAAATAATTTTCAGGAATCGAAATTCCACACACTCGTATTTACTTGCAATTATAAATAAAAAAATTATATACCGCTTATTACGTAAATGTAAAATCACTTTGGCATGCGAGATTATTTTCAGTACATTAATAACATAAAATTCCAGTGGTTTAATTTCCAGCTCAATCTCTGGCTACGTTTCCCTTGATTGCCAAAATTATCGTTTCGCTTTTCACGATCCTCCGATGCACGATTTTAGCTTCATCTAAAAATTACGTATGAAACAGTAATTTAGTCGGATAAATTAAATTTAAACACAGAAGCAAGTCGACAGCCTTGTGTTGCGTGCGTACGCGTGAAGGCTTGCGGTACGAAGACATTTCTCTCTCTCGAGAGTGCATCGGAGGGTTAAAGAAGTGCGTCTCGCTCGCCAAATTCCTCTCGACGAACGGCGACGCGCGCGCGACCCAAGGGGAGCACAAACCAACCGTCGGGCACAAAAACCGGGTTCCGGGAATGAGAGAACGGCCGTACAAAAGGGATTAATTGGCACTAGGCCGTGGATACGGATCATCGTATACGCGCCGCGAGTGTCGCGTTCGCCCGCTCGCCCGCTCGCGTGCGAGCGGCGCGCGGCGGCGCGAGTCATCGATTGACGACCGTAAAAGCGAACGGCACTTGGCACGGGAATCTCTCGATGTTTAATTCTCGTTATCCGTCCTTTCATCCACTCCCGTTTCATGCCTCGTTCCTGTCTCTTTGCTTTTCATTTCTGCGGCAGCGATCGCATTAACTGTCGTTCAGCGGTGGATTTAGGCTCGGACCCGTGAGGCGTACAACCACGATGGGCACCGTCCGATTAAGACAACGTACCCGACTCTTTCTCTCTCTCGAGTAAAATGCGAGGAGAGGACGGAGAAAAAAGTAACAGCGGGGAACAAATCTGAGAACGGTTAAACCAAAATGCGAATCTGATCTTGAAAATTACTTCGACGATATGTGATTCGCTCGAGCTGCACTCGCGATTATGTCGGACGTTTATTTCGCAGATAAACGTCGGAATATCCAAGCGATACATTTGAGCAAACCTTCTCTCTAAAAGTCAATCGCTGTTTCCAGTGGCAATCCACCGATGGACCTTTAGAGAGTTGTGCGTTTCTCTTGAAATCTGTTGCTCTTATTTTGCGCATCGCGAGCGAGTCCGCGTCCGAGTGATTAGTCCAAGACCTGTCGACACGCGGAACGTGACTGGAGTCTCGGATTTCGAGGGTGCGTTGAACGGGTGCATAAATCCGCCGCTGATTCTGAGCCTGTCCTCGCGATTGTGTGTAATATTGCTCGTGCACACACTGTCACGCACGGACGCGTAATCCGAGAAGCCCGGGGTTCCTTTGCGCGATCAACTGTCCCTCCCCGTTGAATCGCGCGCGATCGTCCCGGTCGTCTTGCAGGAGCAGACACTCGGCGAGGACGCTCTCGCACCAGAGCGGCGCGCGCCCTTTGTGAAAACGATAAGATCGTCGTCGCGCGATCGTCGACGCGCCCTCCCCGCGCCGCGGAGGAACGCCGTGGGGTCGACGCGCTCTGATAATAAATGATGTTTTATCTGTCGTGCGATGCCCGGCGGATATTGCATAGCCCGACGAAGAGGCGGGGAGACAGGAGGGAGAGAATTGTAATGCGACGAGGCGTCAATCTGCTTTTTCGTTCGCGCAGGGTGCGACAAATCATGTCGAGGCCGCGCACCGTCTCGCCGCTAACACGAGCACAGAGGAAGGTAAATCCCCCGGCGGTATATGCTCGCGCGAATCGTTTTACGCATGCACTCGTGTGCACGTATGTATAAGGGATGCCGTCGCTCCCCGTGGACGGAATCTTCGTATGCCATTCGGATTAGATACTTCCGCGAGAGAATCCCCCTCGACACCATATTTCCCCTCACGCTAGTTGTCAATCTTCGGTATCGGAGAGCTTGATAAGGCCGTGAGTCAAGAAGCGGCTTAAGTAAGGTTCTATTTCGAACTAATAGCGAATTCGGTCGCTTCCACTGGTGCGCACAGAGTGCACACTGAAGCTCATTTGTAGCCAATTCTTATGTTTAACTTTGTCTTGAGGGATAAACCCGAAGGGGAAACCGCTGAGGGCATTGTGGTGTACAGATTTGCGGCATTACTGGGCATTTTTTGGGCATTAGTTTGGGCATTAGACCTTGCTGCAGCGTTATAAAGATAAAATAAGACAATGAGATTAAGTAATGCCCACTGGGCATTTAGTGGGCATTGGCGTACAAGATTTTGGTCGGCGGTTTCCCCCCCGGGGGTAAACCGCTGGGGGCATTGTGGTGTACAGATTTGCGGCATTGCCAGGCATGTTTTGGGTATTAGTTTGGATGCTGGAGCATTATGAAGATAAAATAAGATAAAAAGATAAGGTAATACCCACTGGGCATCAGTAGGCATCGGTGTACATGATTTTGGTCAGTGGTTTACCCTTCGTTTTGTACAGTATTTGGCAAAAAAAATATCTCAAGAGATATTTAAGACGATCTCTATAAACGTAAGAATGAACTGTAAACGAGCCTCAGCGCGCACTCATTGCGCACTACTGCGTGCAACCGAATTCGCTATGAATGAGACTGTTTATCTATTCGTATACCACGGTGATTGGTGAGATTTTGAGCAACGATCTTGTTGGCTGCAACTGAACCGTTAATATCTCGGCGTTTCTGTTAAAGAGAAAACGACCTCACATTGATCAAAGATTCGAGAAACGTGGCTTGTGTGCAACACAGGTACCCGTCTGTACGTTGGCTGTATCGTAATCATATTATGATCACGATATAACAGGGTCGGGATAAATGGGCTCGGAGATTGAATCGGATTAGAGATGAAAGCAGAGAAAGTTCAACGATCGTGCGGGAGCAGCAGTCCTCTGTTGACCAAGAGAGATTTGATACACGGACAAATTATTAAATACATTATGGCGAAAAGCGCTCGGCGAACGTAAGATTTCGATCTCAAATCCGATTCGGTCCTCACTCCGCACGGGACAAACGGAAAATAACACGGACATGATGGATTCTTTCTCGGTGACGAATCCGCGGAAAAAACATAAGCGCCCCGGTGTTATTAATAGCATTTATCAAACGGCACAATGAGAGTATCGCCGCTTGTGTGGCGGTGCAGAGATATCTACTATTTTTCCCCCGAGATGTATGTAGTCGTACGTCGGATTGTCGAGTGTCCTTTTTGCGATCGTTGAGCGATATCGACAAGCGATCCTCTCGGAACTTACGAGTACTCGGCTCAATAAAAACGCTCGCCATTCGCTCTTTTGTGTCCCCTTTTTTCGGGGGAGGATATAACACCGATGGACGATGTTTCCCCCCTAAACCCCCCCCCCCCCCCGATTCCCGCCGCTGCTGTTAATTCGCCAATCGCTGAAAGCGAGCATCATAATTTCCGTTGCCGTTGCCGCTCCGCCCGAAGCGATATTTCTTCCGCGTTTCCTTTGTCCGCTGTGGCGCGTGCGACAAAGGACGCGATAATTGCAAAGCCCTGTACACGGTACGGCCGATCGTTTTCGCGTGTGTCTCGCGTACAAACGACAATGCGCGCGGAGTTGCGGTGGACATTGTTGCGAGCGGCGCTTAATTTCTGCGGCAACGCGAACGACTGGCGGCGCTCTTATTTTTCCGGGTTGAATGCGGCGAGTTTAATTTCCGATCGGTGCGGGAGAATGGCTGTCCGCCTTACGCTAACTAACGGCGTTACTTTCCGCGAGTCGCGGTGGAATTTGCTTCCGGGTATTTCGATCTTAAATGTGCCGAAAATTGGTGGGGAATTAAAAGCAAGAGCAACGGGATTTGTAATAATAATCCTCACGCATTGTAAAGCTGTCCGTAAAAATGTACAGACTTTTTCGTTAATGCCTGGACCTGCATTTTTATCATCACTTGTCTCATCTGTACAAATAATCGAATTTCAGGCTGTATGTGTCTTACCACTACCACAGACTTCTATACGAGGGGGAACCGGCTGAGGGCATTGTGGTGTACAGATTTGCGGCATTACTGGGCATTTTTTGGGCATTAGTTTGGACATTAGGCCTTGCTGGGGCATTATACAGATAAAATAAGATACAACAAGATAAATAAGATAAAATAAGATAAAGTAATGCCCACTGAGCATTAGTGGGCATTGGTGTACAAGATTTTGGTCAGCGATTTTCCCCTCGGTAAACCGCTAAGGGCATTGTGGTGTACAGATTTGCGGCATTACTGGGCATTACTAGGCATTACTAGGCGTTTTGGGCATTAGTTTGGGCATTAGACCTTACTGAGGCATTATAAAGATGAAATAAGATAAATAAGATAAAGTAATGCCCACTGGGCATTAGTGGGCATTGGTGTACAAGATTTTAGTCAGCGGTTTTCCCCTTGGTAAACCGCTAAGGGCATTGTGGTGTACAGATTTGCGGCATTACTGGGCATTACTAGGCATTAGTAGGCGTTTTGGGCATTAGTTTGGGCATTAGACCTTACTGAGGCATTATA